GACCCGACGAAGAGCGAGGAGGTAGATTTCTTCAAAGGGACAGCTCGGGCGCAGGTTCACCTACCCATGCGTGAAGGAGGACTAGGAATCACGAGAAATGTTCTCATTCGAGAATCGGCTTTTGTGGCAGGGCAAGCGTTGGTGTTCTCCAAGTCAGTGCAAGCGTCGACAGGATACACAATTGATCAATGTCTACCCCGGCTTGCCCAGCTACCGACAGGATTGGCTCTGATTGACTCGTTAAAGAAGCTAGAGGATATCATCACCAGAGACAAGCTTCAAAAAGCTGTTGGGCAGTCATGGGCTAAACTTGCCACAAGAGATGATTTAACCCCCGCCCTCAAAGGAGTTTACCCGTTGGAAGCACGGAAGGCGGGAAAACCCAGTGAAGATGGAAACCCTCATGTAGAACATCAACCATCGTCTACCTACAACCGAAATGAATTTGGTCAACACTACCAAGTCTTTGGAGCCCAAGCTCTCCTTTCAGAACCTTTTCATGCAGCAGTGCGTCACATGGTGGAGACAGCCTTGCAGAAGGTAGCAGGCGAGGAAACGCCAAAGAAGAGGGCGTTGATCCGCTTGGAGGAAGCGAAAGGCAAGGGAGTTTTGTCGTGGTTGACAACGCAAGGGTTGTCAGCAGATGAAAGAATGCTGCCTGATCTATATCGAGAGTCAATCGGTCGTGTACTGGGGAGTCACGATCGAGCAGACTGCGACACAGGCAAACTTTAGGGTGCAGGTGCATTGTTACCATGCAAGGACCGCTTGAGCCGAGCCGACTCCCTCGTCTGCACCAAGACCGGCGCCTCAGCCTTCCTCCATAACAGGATGGTTCGAGTGGTCCTCAAGACACTGCGCGAGTGCCATATGCCCATCGCCGTTGAGGATTCTTCCCCTTTTACCACAGGCACTGGTAGGGGAAAGGGGCTATACAAGATGGATTTGGNGGGGAGTCACGATCGAGCAGACTGCAACACAGGCAAACTTTGTGGTGCAGGTGCATTGTTACCATGCAAGGACCGCTTGAGCCGAGCCCACTCCCTCGTCTGCACCAAGACCGGCGCCTCAACCTTCCTCCATAACAGGATGGTTCGCGTAGTCCTCAAGACACTGCGTGAGTGCCACATGCCCATCGCCGTCGAGGATTCTTCCCCTTTTACCACAGGCACTGGTAGGGGAAAGGGGCTATACAAGATGGATTTGGTAATCCCCCCAGGATTACACGCAGGAGAGAAGGAAGAGGACCTCTGCACCAAGTCCATTCTGATCGACGTAACAATCGTCAACCCATCAGCAGGTCGAAGCATCGACAAGTCGATCCTTAAGCCAGGATCAGCCCTCGAAGATCGAGCTGCAAGTAAGGCAAATCACTATGCGGGAACTTTCAACCCGTCTAGATCTACCCTCCTTACTGCTGCTTTTTNAAAAAGGAACTTTGCACCAAGTCCATTCTTATAGACGTAACAATCGTCAACCCATCCGCAGGTCGAAGCATCGACAAGTCGATCCTTAAGCCAGGATCAGCCCTCGAAGATCGAGCTGCAAGTAAGGCAAATCACTATGCGGGAACGTTCAACCCGTCTAGATCTACCCTCCTTACTGCTGCTTTTTCAACGAATGGTGGTCTTGGCAAAGGCACCAATCGACTCATCGTTGCTATCGCCAACCACTTGGCTCACGAAGCTTTTTGCCGGGGGGATTTTGACGACGAAAGCTTTTCATACTAACAGGATTCAAAGACGGTTTACCTTCGAGCTAGCTCGTTTTCTGTCGATGCGAACTCGCGATGTGTTCAAACGTCATGGGCTACTGATCGACCAANAATGATGGTCTTGGCAAAGGCACCAATCGACTCATCGTTGCTATCGCCAACCACTTGGCTCACGAAGCTTTTTGCCGGGGGGATTTTGACGACGAAAGCTTTTCATACTAACAGGATTCAAAGACGGTTTACCTTCGAGCTAGCTCGTTTTCTGACGATGCGAACTCGCGATGTGTTCAAACGTCATGGGCTTCTGATCGACCAACTTCTACCAGGGTCAATCGGTTGGGATCTCTGCGACAACGATAGTAATGAGGGTAATTATTTTGGGAGTGACGGAGACGAAGGAAAGGGAAAGGGAACAAAGGAGGACGAAGACGACGATGGAGGAGGAAAACATGGAGGAGTGGAAGAGAGCAAAGGGTTTGAGCCAGATGACCAAAACGTCGGACTAGGGAAGAACTGCCCAGAGATTCTTGTCAAAATGAGGATCAGAATGATGGTTGCGAACACAAGGAGGATAATGGTGAAAGTACTCCAAAACGAACTCGCGTACAAGGTAATAGCCTTGGTAGACGCGTGCAGTTTCCTTCTGATGATGCTGTTTCTGTCTTTGATCCGAAGGATAGTTTAGCCTCCCCCATGCTGCCCCCTCACGGGGTCCCAGTTCATGGCAGATATAATTGTTTTGTGTTTTCAACCGCACTGGGACTGACGTCTTTTCATTGGTCAGCCGGTTAGCGCGGTCGATGCTAATAATAAAANTCATGGCAGATATAATTGTTTTGTGTTTTCAACCGCACTGGGACTGACGTCTTTTCATTGGTCAGCCGGTTAGCGCGGTCGATGCTAATAACAAAAACACACACCTACACGTCTACTCGTACACGCAGGAAATCCAATCAATTCACAAGTCTACTCGTACGTCAAGGGAGTCAAATCACCTCACCTACTACGTATGCCTACTCGCACACCAAGGACATCAAATCAGGTGAACCCTACATGTCTACATTAACACCCAGTCAGGAAATTCGATCAGTTCCGGCTAGGGCGATCGACGTACTACATTTCTTGGCAGCGCAAGCTGCTGGTGCCACTCGAGTCTCGCAACGGCCATGCACAGCGTTAATCGTCGAGCGATGCAACATGAAAAAATCGAATGCCTTGAGGTATACTTGAGTACCACGAGGGCACACACCCAAGAGGAATAACCGCCCGAATATATAGCGAAGTCACCCCCAGCAATCCCGCGACGTATGAAAACGTGTAAAGGGGACCCCAAACTTAACGCACCTGGTCACTACGATCTGTAGAAGGGACGAAGAATCGTCCATTTTTTCCTCCGCGAACTCCACCAGTCTCTCGAGCACGCTGGTAACCTGCTCCACTCGCGAGGGTGAGCAGTGGTGGCGACGACAAGCGTCGCGACAAAACAGCGAGTGAGAGCAAAGAACCCAGAAGGACCGTAAATACTTTCGCACCACATCGGGTACGATAAAATAAATCCTACATTTGTGTGTAGACACACAGCAGGTCAGATCGGTCCGCCTCCCCCACGTCAACGAAAAACTGCTGCTGTGCACATCTGTTGGAAATGTAACCAAACGCCACGCAGAGCGGTGCTGCACCATGATGGGCACCGTGATGGCACAACAGAAACGTAACGTACAATTCATCGCTGAGATACCTCGGGCACACGTTCACTTCATAGCTGGGAAACATAACCCCAGGCACAAACTTTATGGCTGGGAAATATTGAACCTCAGGCACACTTGTCGCACGATACACGACTGGGTCTCTGAATCAAACTCCGTCGGTGGAGCAGAGCGCACCTGTGTGGCGAGGTTCTCGAGTTTGACACGCTGCTGTTCGTCCTCCGCTGTCTCCGCAAGCTCCGCTAGTCGGAGGAAGAAAGCCGGCTGTGCCACCTGCTGGACGCACTTGGAAACTGTTTGCCAAGCGACGGACGGAAGGAGGAATGTGGGGGCACGTGTGTGTTACGAAAAAAAGCAGTGTCACCCCATCCTCGAATTGTGCAATATTCCGCCTTAAGACACATATGGTGCAGCGAAAGAGGCGTTTTCAAACCACAACTTGGTTTCGAAATGCGCTTGAGACCACGCTCTCCGTCAGAGCTTGCTCCGCCTCGTGTGCTACTCAATGTCCGGCCTAGGCAGCACCCATTCTTTTTCATCCCAAAATATCCCCTTCGCCGTCCGTCTGATCCTGTAGCAATAACCATGTCCCGCGCATGATGCGGCTCTCAGAAGAGAGTCCAGTAGTCTACGAGGAGCTGGTGACCTCCAAAAGTATTCTGGAGGACAGGCTGAGAGTCACGGTGAGGTTTTGTGTTTCTTGTGTTTTACGAATTTCGAACCCAAAGAAAGTGTAGCACTTCTTCGGGAAGTGCACTCGAGGGAAAAGAGATGCTGCAACCTTCTCGCGATAAACACAACTAGAGGCACCGCAGATGGCCTCACCCGAGTTGTCCCGGAAGGAGGCCTTCAATCAGAGAGATAGAGTGCGAACGACGACGGTCATGATATGTACCACCACCAGGTAGTCTACACTCTAGCCTCTGCAACAATGGATAAACAATGAACACAATCGAGCGGATGTAGGCAACCCGTCCTTCTCTGTGACGTTTAGACTAATCTACGAGCCCCTGCAACGACGAGCTAAACAGAGCGAGCGGATAAAGCCAACCTGCCCTTCTCCGTGACGTGCAGTCTGCTATAATATACAGCCTCCGCAACCATGAGCTACATCAGAGCGAGCGGATGTAGCCAATAGCCAACCCGTCCTTCTCTGGGGTGCAAGGGCTGAAAACTTGAAGCCGTGGACGGTAGAAGTTCACTGGAAACCCCGAAAACCATTGCTGGTGGTCGATCCTCGACTCAGTACGGCCCTACTCTTGATCAAAAGGCAAAAGCATCCGGCGCACGGAATTGCACAGCTGCCGGCCTGTGCTCCAAGCAAGTCAAACTTCCATGTAAGCCGACGTTCCTCCAAAACATACGGTAGATAGCACCCGCGGTGTTAACCGCACAAAGCGTAGCTCCCACCTTTGAGTGTCAAAACCTCGACATCTGGCGTCTCCTTCAGGTCGTTGATGATCGTGTCCATACCCGCCGAATCGGACTGAGCAGGAACCAAGGGAGTACAGACCGCAAGGAGCAGGGGTGGAATTTTTTGAACGGAAATCGTCGCACAGAGAGCACGGGTTCGCTGCCTCTTCGTTGGTGACGTACCACACCGAACCCACATGCGGACTGAACATGTTGATGTTTCCCGCCGATGCAGCTACAGCAGTGCTGCTTTTGAGCGGGTCGGTTCACTGAATTCTGAAACCAAGCGAACGCAAAACAAGCACGATGCTGAACCACACTTACCATACGAATGCCACCGACGGGAGCTGTCCTTGTTGACAATGGTGATCGTCGGCATCCTGTGCGCGAGACAGCGGCGTCACGTTGAGTACCTGCCGCTGCTCTTGAAACAAAATGTTGGCCGTGGCTAGGCGTGAGAAAACTCCTTGCTACGACTGCAGTCACAACCACAGATAGGGCTCTGAGTGCCCGAGTTCCCCCTCCCATGGTCAACTACTTACGCCACTCGCCAGACACTGCCACCCTGCACACAGCACAGCCCAACACCCGTGGCACAGGCCAATGTCGAGGGGGCACCGCAACTTCATGACCGCTATCTGTGTATCCCCATGACCGGGCGAGCCAGAGGGCACGTGCATTCAAATCAGAAACCGTTTCGAAATCGGCTCACAGTTCGAGGAGAAAGGCCTACAAACAGCAGTGGATCAGCGGTGTGTCTAAAAAAACAAAAAAAATACAGCCCGAACTCTTGTTGTTGTTGTTGTTGACTTCACATTAAACCGTATGCCAGTTGCTAAATGCCAAAATCTAGCAAAGACTCTCGGCCCGTGGTCACGAAAGTGCTAGAGCCATCTGAGGATCTAAAGAACACGCACACGTAGCAAGAAAAAGGTGTACAAGAGCCCGAAGAGGTACTACTACACCTATATATAATCCCTGCAGCACCGTACGCGTGCCCAAAACTGAACTACACGTCCGTCTCACCGTTCGACTACAGCAACATCACCCCCTACCTGTCCCACTCTGTACCAAAACGAATGATTGCCGACTACAGCATACTTGCTGTCTGAAGTGCTGTCTGTACAAAAACACCATGGTAGGCATGGAACAAGAAGCTGGCGGGGCACAAAGCTGC